GTGGATGACCTTAGGGCAGGGGTGTTAAACTGCCGGCCTGTGGGCCGGATGCATCATAGCGAAATCGCGCCCACCCCATTCCCGACAATGGCAAAAAAAGTCACAATACGTTGTGACACGTCACATGATGTTATGAGTTTGACTTCCCTGCCTTAGGGGATGAGGGAAAGAGATGCTGCCTAAGGAATGATCAGATAGGAGAAAGAAGAGCCCCCAGTGGCTTAACGATCAAAGAAAGAAACTTAGGAAGTGACCAGACAGTTAAAAGTGGTAGCAGGACAACTATAACCTTCCAATTCTTCTCTTGATTTCAATTTAGGTTCTCCTTCAAAATAAGTCAACAAATTAGTAGAAGTCAACAAATTATCAATTACCTAATGTAAATATAATTTCTGTTCTAAAAAAAGCTTTGTGTGGTGACAACCATAAATGAATTTGGGGAGTCAACCTTACTTTTTTATACCTATTCTAAATCCTCAATATGGCATGCCTAATACAGTGATAAAATTCTGGTTGTCAAAGTCATACATAATACATACATACATATACATATATATATATACATACATACGTACACACACACATATATATATACATACATACGTACACACACACACATATACAATGAATGGAGGGGTTAGGGAAAAGAAAGGTTAAAAGCAAAAGGTAAAAAGCAAACTCAGGAGTGCAAAGAAATAGAAAAAGAAGGGGGGGGGAAGGAGAGAGAATAACTTCAGTTTTCTTTAGTACAGATACAGATATAAAATACATTAACCTCTTACTCTAAAATCAACCATAATAACCATAACCATTCGTATAAGAGCATTACAGTATATGAAACAATTCTGCTATTAGGGACACCAAGAAAAATAAGCTTGAATTATACTCTTAAAATGAACTGGACATCTGATTAATTTTCATTCGTAAAGGTTTCCATAAAGAGTTTGAAGCACATCAATAAAGCAAAGAACAGCCTAAACTGCATCTAATTACATTTTAAGAAATTAGAACACTATTTGCCTAGCAGATAAATAATTAAGGGGCTATTTTATAAATGCATTTCCATTTGTTAATACTTAAAAGAACAAGTCTGTACTAATTAACTATAACTCAAAAGATTATTTCTAGCACTTTGTAAAGCTGCATTATAAATCACTGGAAAAATAGATTTCACTGCAAGAGCATTTTAGTATTATTCTATCTATTTTTTAACATTTTTACATGCATTTAATTTTTAATCAGCAGCCACATTTAAAACAAATTTTATTTTTGTACCATGGTTCTTAAGCAAGATAAATAAGGTCAAACAAATCACAACACTGTTCAAATAAAACTATTTCAAATCATGCTTTCAGAAGTTAATGATTGTGAAGTATTCATCATAGTTTTAAAAAGTGAATGAAAGTAAATAGAAGTGGAGGATTTTAACATAACAACTACTTTAATTGAGTAGCATTAATGCTTAAATCACACTGCTCAGAAAGAATTATCCATGTATTCATAATGACTTACAACCAGATAAACATATAGAGTAATATTTTCATATGGCTGTCCAGGGGGACATAAATTATGGCAAACATTCTCTTCCCTAGCAGTGAATTTGCTATGGGAAAAATTAACTTAGAAGATCCCTCAACTTTTTCAGCCTAGAATTGTACATCCACTTGTCATTGGTACATGACACCCGAGAAATTATTTAGAATGAGTGAACACGCTTAAATGTAAGTTGGAAATGTGAACAATATTTTTTACATGTACATTCTTGGTGGACATGTAAAAAAGCTAAAAGTGTTTAATTCAAATATATAGTCTGAAACAGAAGATTTTAAAGATCAATATTCAGTTGAAACCAGAATTTTTCCTTCTAGGATTAATGAATAAACAGAAAAAAGACAGGAAAGATTTTTTTCAGTATATGATTACTTCACCAAGATTAGTATATACACAGAGGTGGAAAGATTCAGTACTACCCACTATGGATGATTGGTTGGTTAAATTGAGAGATTTTACTGACATGGATAAATTGACTTATTTGATTGGAGGAAAAAAAAACATCTACATTTTCATAAAAATGAAAAATGAACTTGTGATTTATTATGATTAGGCTGGATAGATTACAGAAAGAAGGATAATATGATGTAATTCTAGAGAGAGAGATTAAAATGTATTTGTATTTACAACTTCATTGAGGACTAGTAGAAGCCACTTTATATCTTTTTTCTTTCATTTCTATTTTTCCTTAACCTTTTCTTTTCTTTTCTTGCACTTTTGCTGCTCCTTTGATTTATTTCTTATTCTTTTTCCTTGTTTTATATTGGTTTGTATTAGCTTTTATCTTCACGTTTAAAAATTTTAATAAAATTGTTCAGAGATGCACATACTGTGTTTCCCCAAAAGTAAGACCTAACCCGAAAATAAGTCTTAGCTTGATTTTTGGGAGTGGGTCTTATATAAGCCCTACCCCAAAACTAAGCCCTAGTTTTGGGGTGAGGCACACACCTAAAAATCAAGCTAGGGTGGGGGTGGGGGGGTGGAGCTGTCCCATGCACCCTGCATCCACTTACCTTGCAGCCAAGCCTCTCCTTGCCGGCCCACTTCTTCTGCTGCATCCCCAGGCCTGCATTTCGCCATCAGAGGCCTTTCCAGAAGGCCAATGCAGCCAAGAACCAAGCTATGCATTGAATCCATAGCTCCGTTCTCAGCTGCAGTGACCTTCCAGAAAGCCTTTGACTGTGAAATGCAGGCCGGAGCTCCATTGTCAGCTGCAAAATGAAGTCCTTCGGCCCCAGAAGAAGTGGGCCGGCTGGGTGGGGCTGTCGGTGCAGAAGGTGAGTGGAAAAGACACCCCCCCCCCGAAAATAAGACCTGGTGGCTCTTTTGGAGGCAAAAATAAAATAAAATAAAACAAGACTGGGTCTTATTTTTGGGGAAACACGGGTACAAGCACAAACACAAACACACATATTTAAAAAGTTTTATCAAAGGTATCTCCGTTTTCCCTGTCTATCACAACCTCTTCATTAAAATTTCCATTCCCTCCATTAGGATTGCTGTATGCAGTATACTCTGCTTATTTAGCATTCTGTATTTTGATTAATTGCTTTTTTATTTCTAGATGTAGCAAAATATATCTTAATCATTTTGAAAAGTATGTCAAGTAAATCTTAAAGAGATAGATCTAGTTTATAGTGGTTCATTCATAAAAATTAAATAGGATGACGATTATTACGTCATGATGTTGTATGAAGATCAGGTGGCAGCCATGGCCAGGAAGCTCTTCTCCAAGTTCATCTTGTGTGCCATTTGTACCTCTTCTTCAATTTTAAGACCCTTCAGTTCTTTATTCACATCTTGCATCTGGACTATTGCAATGCACTCTATATGGGATTGACCATCTGAAAACTAAAGGTGGTTAAAATGCAGTGGCACAAGCAGTAACAAGAATTCTCAATGACACCCATGTATCATTATTGCTGTAGGAGCTACATTGGCTACCAACTGGCTTTTGAGTGAAGTTCAAAGTGCTGGTCATCACCTATAAAAACATGTTATACAGACTGGTTATGTGTGAGGCCACTTGTTTCAAATTTTTATATCTGCCCATTATGTTCAGGCAGTTACTCTGCTGTATCTATGGTAAGTGAGGTGTTTTCTATTAATAAAGGAGAATATTTGTAGCTCAGAACTGAAATGAGGGATTCTTGGTGCTTTCTGAGCTTGGTTGTTTTCTTACAGATGTTTCATTACCCAAACTAGTCATCATCAATGCTAGTCCTTTTGTACACTCACTGAAATAAGCACAGTGCAATCCTGATTTCTTTTAGGAAGACTTTGTCAGCCAAGAATATATTTATGTATTGTTGTGGGCAGCTAAACATTATTTGATAGGCTGCAAGCTTGAAACTCTGATCAAGATTCTTGACAAATCAGATTTGACACAGATCTCTGGGCTTTGCTCAAAGTATTTACTTTAAAACTCTACATAATTTAAGCCAAATTATTGCAAGACCACTTACTTCTGTATAATTCATCTCACACTTTTGGTCCTCAATGAAGTCAAATCCTGAAGGTTCTGATACAAATCTGCTTAACATTAAAACATTTGTTCCCATTCTATGGAATAAATTGTCATTGGAGTTTTGAACCTTATAATAGTTCAAAATGTGCCCTAAATCTTTTTATTTTTGGCATTCTTCAAATTTTAAAGTCTTAATATTTTTGGCATTGAGTTTTAATGTTTCCTTAGAATTTTTAATGGATTTAGCATTGTAAATGTTTATCTACATTCTTGTAAGCCATCCAGAACTCTTGCAACAATCGGAAATAAACATAGCTTTATTAATAAACATAGAGATTTATTAATAGTAAATGAATAGTTATTCTTTTCCATCATAACAAAAACTGAGAAATGAGTAGTCCTAATTTATCCTGACACAGTAGCAGAGACTTGTTCTTCCTACCCTCTGTGGGAAGAGAAAATGATAATAGGTAAGCTCTATCAGCTTAGCCTGCTTGGTCTTCTCACCTACTTTAGACATTACGCAATGAGATCATTCAGTTGTGGTCATCATGTATTTAATGTAGTTTATTTAAAAAGTAAATCTGCCTTTTCATAGGCCAATCCGAATCTTCTCATAGCTCCTTCCTATCCTGTCAAGGCTGCTTAGCAGTTTCACAAAAAGTACAAAAATTGAGTATTAAATTTTCACTTACACAGATAATAGTTTGAGGAGAGAATTTTATTCAGGGTATTCCCACTCTAGAAATTACATATCATCCATTCCTTCCATATTATTCTATATTTATTCTTTTCCTCTGGCTACATTTTAAGATTTTTTTAAAAAAACAGTACACTTGAGAGTTGGCACTCCAACATAACATATAGATTGTCTTCATCTTCAGGACAATTATCAGTGATACAGAACTATAATTTGTGTGTTTTGTCTCATGACTATATTAGAAATACAATATTGTTTTGATTTTTATATGTTCTTTTGAAGAATACCACCAAATGTAAGAGATATCGTCTACTGCACAGGAGTTTCACTGATGGATGAAGATGTATGGGAATTCATCTGGATGAAATTCCACTCAACTACAGCAGTATCAGAGAAGAAAATATTATTAGAAGCCTTAACCTGTAGTGATGACAGAAATTTGTTAAACAGGTATGCTCATTTAATCTATATTTCCTGGTTTTTTTTCAAACTCAGTCTTGTATCAGTAAAAGTAATAACATTTGTGGTCTGAGTATTGTCCCAAATATTAAATATTTTTTGCTTATATATGTCCTTTTTAAAGTTTTTATTCTTACTCATTTTCTTCTGAAAATCAGATCTATGAGAATGTTTTTAATACTGTATGTGCTTAGCATTTATTCCAATTAATTTGTTTATATTAATTTGAAAATTACTTCAGAAAAATATAACCTCTGAGTAGCATTCATGAAGCCTACAATAAATTAATTTTAATTTTTAGCAAATATCTGCTGAGTGTAGATTTAGCTTTATTTTCTGTATTTTACAAACATATATTGAAAGTGCCACATTGACTTTAAATTAGAATCTGTCAGGGATCCCAAGATGTTGAATGGCATGAAGCTGAGATATTTATGTTAGTAAAAGCTAAACATTTTTCCCTTTCTCCTATTATTCAAGGCTTCTTAACCTGTCTCTTAATTCAGAAGTTGTCCTGGATCAGGATGCAATTGATGTCATAATCCATGTAGCTAGAAATCCACATGGAAGAGATCTTGCTTGGAAATTTTTTAGAGAAAAGTGGAAAATACTGAATGCAAGGTAAAATGTTTTGATAAACTGTATGCTTCATCTTCCATATATTTAAACTTTACAATACCAATAATTTAAGGGCGTACATAGTTAAATAGCCATAAAAACTGAGAAAAGGCTGCTTGTGTGTGTACTGTATTTCAAGAGCCATTTGCTTCTTTGTTGCTATAAATGTTTAGATAAAATACCATGTAACTATCTTTAATAATGGCCTTGATCTAACTTCCTGCAGTTTTACTCATGCATGGGATGCTAATTTCACCTTGCCTGAAATCTAGTTTTCCTTATTTTTTCTGATGCAATATATAGAATTGAATTTTAATTTGAATAAAAATATGACTATTTTTATTCCATTAATGTGGCTTCAGTGCAATATGATTGATACTGATCGTAGACCACAGGATGTAATATTTCCAGAGATTATGGAATAGAACCTGTAACTGGTTGCACGACTGTAATAGTAGTTTATAATATATGATTGTTTATAATATATGATTTCAAAATCATTGCCACTTAGAATGCTCTGTATTTATCTTTTAATATGGTGATGAAGATACGGAGAAGCATTATTTATGAATTCAAAACTGATAAGTGGAGTCACAGAATTTCTTAATACAGAGAGTGAACTAAATGAGGTAAATATTATGCAAGCTCAGTACTTGCAGCTATTTTTTACTCTTTTTCATTTTCTTCAATGTGTGCTACCTAAAAAAATCCAAGCTTATTCATGTATGTATTTCAGCTTTTATAAATGGTGTGTCACCTGAATGCTACATTCAGGAAAAGACCATCTTTTTTATGTTGAGAAAGAGAAAGTGACAATCATATTTTATGACATTTTAACTAAGTTCAATGTAAACCTACTATTTATAGTATAATGTGAATTTAAAATATTAAATCCAAGAACATTATTGTCTTTATAGTGCTTGAACAGCCCCTCCAACATGTAAATGAACTCTAATTATTTTATGATAAAATGTTTAAAAAGTTAATCAACCCTAATTAATCCTAATTTAATATATTTTACCATATTTAATAAAGAAAAACTCTTCAGGGAAGAATGTAAATGTTGTAGCTTAATGTGAGCTAAAATTATATTAGATGTATTTCTAATTTTTCTATGGTTAGATATCTATGTAAGAATAAAATGTGATAAGGGCCTGGCTGTCTACACCATAAAGCAGACGTCCGCAACCTGTCCAGCTTTGCGCACCATCGGTAGGGGGGAGAGGATGGTTCCACATGAATGCCGGGCAAGCACATGTGCAGCTCCATTTGTGTGAGCAGCAAGCATGCGTGCCTGCCGCTTGTGTAAATGGAGCATGCGCGTGCTCGCCTGCTAATTGCACAGGTGGGGATGTGCATGCATGCAGCCACCACTTCTGCGGTCTGGTTCCGAAAGGCTCAAGGCCTGATAGTGGACTGCAGTCTGGGGTTTGGGGACACCTGCCATAAAGCACCTGGATTACAAGAGAGATAGAGGAAGTGATGTTAATATAAGCAGGCATTGAGACATTAGTATTTTGCAACACCATTTCAGGCAGTTGCAGTTTGTTGCTTTATTATATGTTTCAATCTGCAAAATATTGCAAGAACTTCAGTAGCAAACATAGAACTTTTGTCCTTACTTGGAAATTATATAAACTTCATTTTTTTCTTCAATTATATCTTAATTAACCATTACATTCTATTTCCAGCTAAAGAAATTTGTAAAGAATTATGAGGAGAGATCTGCTGCCTCTTTCTCTCGAGCTGTGGAAACAGTGGAAGCGAATGTCCGGTGGCAGATGATTTACAAAGAAGAATTATTTCAGTGGCTGAGAAAAACACTTGCACACTAATCTGTATTTCTGGCAAAGACCTAGCACAAGTTTTGCAACAGGAGGAGCACAGTGGGAACTTTCAGAAAATTGACTAGAAATCCGGCAAAGACAAGTTCAAATTGGAAGGACAATTAAATAGAGATATATTATATTTTTGCACCAAATTCCTCAGAACTGTTAAATGATTAGGGGCCAAAATAAAAATATTGACAAAGAGGAATGGTCATGAATCCTATCCCTACTATTCCATGGCCAAGTGTGATATTAAGTGGTGCATGTAAATGTTAATGTCAGTTTTGTTGGAGAAAACCCCCGAGAATAATTGTGCATGGTTTTATGGTTCCTGCCTGTATTTTAGCATGCTTACTTCAGATGTCCATGTTTTGTATGTGAATTTCTGTTGCATCAAAGATGGGCATTATGCAAAAGCACAAAGACTCTTATGACAATCAGTGATGTAACAACAAGGTAGGATGGAAAGAAAGAAGTTAAAGATACAAATGAACAATTGATAACATCTCCCCTTTCCATGGTGCCAGCCAGTTCAATCAACATTTAAATTCTGTTTAAGTTACTCTTTCAATTATTATCCTTTTTTGAGTTGTAAACAGTAATATAAATTACAATCCAAAGATTCCTCTTTTTAAATCATGAATATGTATGTATTTAGAGGCAGAATATTTTCGCAGTAAATTATAATTTAAAAAATAATTTTATCCACTGCTCATCATCTATTGATAGATTTGCCTTCATAACCTAGTTTACAACAGCTAGTTTGTACATTTGGTGGGTGGGGGTAGAGAAAAAAAATCAGTCTTTTGCATTATGTCTTTTCAGCAAAAATATTCAGTACATGTTATACTATTCTTTGATAGTTGCATATATGATAGAAAAATAAAGTGAAAGAAAACAGAACAAAACCAGGGGAAAACTGGAAAATTATGTGAATTAAAAGGTCTTCCTAGGTAATGTTTAAATTTTAAGGAACACCAGTCCCCCCCCCCATCCTTGTCAGTATGAACATCTTGTTTCTTCACATTTGAGCAATTGTTAAAGCTCAAAGTTGAAAAATAATCCTTTGCTTCTATTTCACTTTTTAAATTTTTTTTAGCTAAGACATTATTTGAGAGTAGAATGCATTCCATCAGATTTTTTTCCTCATTTAGAATATCTATAAAGATTTACCAAATAACAACCTAGCTGGAATGCAGCACTTCTTATAATTTATCATATTCTTCATCACAGGGAAGCGATATTCTTCAGTATCTTTTAATGGAAGAAAATAACAAATTAATGACTATAACCTACAACTTAGAAGTTTTTTCTGCTTTTTGTTATGTTTAGTTGTTTATGATCTTTGTGCTCCAACCCTAACATGGAATAACATGGAATGAATACACACACACACACACACACACACACCGTATGTGGAAGTATGCTATAAACCAGTAAATGAAACAATTGCATTCTTTATTGGACGGTTCCTAGTGGCAGGGGGAAAAAAATCAAATTTACAGGATTTTCTATAAATGTTCATGAAAAATTGCCTATAGTGAATATAAATTATTTTGTTATATTAAATCTTTAAGTAGTAGTTCTGCAACATCTCACTTTGCATTTAGTTTATCATCAAGTAAATACTAAGTTAAATATATAAGCTTTTAGTTTACCATATTCTTCATGCTTCAACAGCTCTTTAGGGCTTTATACAAACAAGAATTAAAATAGATATTTTATTTTTGCTGTTTTATGATGCTAACGAGCTGCTCCTAGATACACTAAAGCCATACAACTTTTCATCTTGTCAGAAGGCATTAGGAGCAAGTTCCTGAGAGTAAAAATAGTTAAGCAATGGAACAGTCTGTCTTTTAAAATTGTGGTCTCCCAGCCTTCTATCAAGGATGATTAGCAGATTCTTGAAATGAATGAGGATTAGAATAGAAGACTTGTCAGTTCTCATCCAATTTATACATTCTATGATGAGAAGAATCAAAGCATCTAACACATAGCAGGTTATTTGGATTAGTTTCAAAGATTATTTAAGAAGATTTGTCTCAATTTCGCAGAAACTTGTTCTTATAATGTCTTCATTCTAAACTCCAAGAAGAGAAACCACAAAACTACAGTGGGAAAGAAGAAATTTTTTTTTTCTTTTTGAAGGAAAATAAGTGGTATAGGGCCAATGTAAGATAAAGAAGAGTTTATTATGGGGAACAAAGTTTTATAGTGTGAAAGCTATTTAATGATGCCTCCTAAGATTAGTTAACGTAGCCTACAAACCACCATGTTTTTGGGACACTTCATTATGAAATAATGTTTTGATATCCTTTACAGTAAATCTAGGCCAAATCTAAAGTGTTGCTTTGCAGATGCATTTGGTAATTTCTTGCTATTAGAAGGAATTGTGATTATGAAAAAGATAATATCCTATCAAATGTTAGGTGCACAATAGCCAAGTTTAAATTCTTAAAATATTCTGAGTTTTTTACAATTCTTGCTAGTTGGGCTGGGGTGAGGGGAGTGTTGTTTTAATCGTCTCTTTATAAAAGTTAGTTATCCCAAGCATCTGACTTTTCCAGTGAGAATGAAAAAATGTTAGAAGTATTTATTCAGATGCCTGTGTCTTATTTGCTGTTTGCTTTTATTCCATTTTAAGTATTCCATTGTTCTTATTTTTAGAAAGTAAACATTTTCAGGTTTAAATACTATTAATTTAATATTTAAATCTATGCCTGAAATGTACTTTAAACCTTCTGTTTTCCTAAGTGCACAAAATAGTAAAAAATAAAAAAGTAGTGGCGTTTCAAAAATCAGGAAAAAAATGAAACAATCAAATAACAAATCTGAACTTGAATTTTATTTGATTTATTAATTGAGGTGTACCCTAAATACTCTCAATGGGCTCTTTAACAACAAGCATTCCACTGTATGTTTCCTTAAAGTATTATGTTGGTATTTCTTGTCAGATTTCTTAATACTTAAATGGATACAGAATACCATTATCCAAATGTTCCTAAATTAAACTATGCAGTAACTATTTTTGTACTATTCATTGCCATGGAATAGATGTAAAGCACAATTTAAAACATGCAAGACTTCATTTATGTTGGTTTGCGATAGTCCATTTTCCCCCCAACTTGGTGCCTTCCAAATTAGTTGGGCTTCAACCTCCTGTGGATTGTTAGGGTTGAAATACAAGCCCTCTAGAGGTCATTCAACTGGGAAAGGCTAGTAGATTGCTTGAATTGTAAGTCTATAAAATGATAACATTGCTGATCCTGTATTTCAGAGAACATTCACATTTGAGAGTATGATTTGATTTCTTTCTTACATGGTCTCAGAGATCTCCTTCAGAGAACCAGGTAGCTAGCAAGCCTTCATGTCTTGCTTTACAGTGCCAATCCTCCACTGTGTTACACATTCTCAGTGCATAATGGTTTTATTGTATTTATAAGTCATAGCAAGTGTGGTGCTCTACTGCTCCTCTATTATGCTTAGTGACTTATCACAAATTCATATTTTGCTAATTCAGATCACCAATGAGCATATAACTTGCCTACTATTTTAATATGTTTTAAGTTTTGATATTTCACTTACATGTGGGTGAAGGCAGGAGATATTTTAAAAATTATGTTGTACTCAATTAAGTTTCAGCCTTAAGTATGATACTTCATGCTATTAAAACCTGGAATATAATAGAATGCAGTATTAGCAATAAGAGCAACTTGATGAAGTCTCTTCATACATTAAACTGGAAGTGTTGTGTCATTATACCATTTTTTCATCTTATACGTTCAACTACTAGAGATAGCCATTTCATTTGAAAATAGATTTTATTTGTATGCTTGTTTTTCTATATTTGTTCCCTTCACTGTGGGTGGAAAATGTTTGGCTTCTCTCTATATATTCTGAAGAAATACCTCTATTAAGTACCAGTTCAAACTAAAACACTATGTAATTCTGTTTGGGACAAAGTTCATATTTAAAAAAATATACATGATAAAAGGATTCATATTTTTATGAAGCCTAATTTCAATTCTCTCATTAAGAGAACTGATTTATACTTATTATATTTAGAAAATTCTTATTTTAAATCTGTTTTCCATCACAACTTTACTTAGATGGCCCTCATTAAGCCATCAACTAACGTATCTTTACCACATTCAAAAAACTGAATGATGAAAAAATTATGTAAAATTAAGTAGATACTGAAGCAGAGCAGATATATACATATTCAGAGAGAGAGAGAGAGAGAGATGCAAATGCTGTGTTTCATTATAATCCATCATAATAGAATCTGAAAAAAACTCATATTCTGGCCAATATTGGAAAAAAAGAATAGGATGATAATTTGCTAACTTGTCAGTATCAACTTGATGTGACCATTAAGACAGATCTTCTCCAGCATGATCTCTCCCCAGCCTGGGCTTCAGACCTCTCAACACTACATTCATTGCTGGTATAATCAAGTGTATCTTGCTGCTGATTGTCCTCTTTCCTTCCACCTTTCTCATCATTTTGGGCCCTCAGGGAGCTGGGTTTTTGTTATAAAATATGTTAATTTAAGCCTGGTTATTTGGGCTTCAAGTGGGAATTCTTAGTTTGTTTTTTGATCTTTGTTTTCTTGGCTGTCAATGTTAAAAGTGTTTTCTCCAACAACAAAGTTCAAAAGTATCAATACTCTTTCCATCCTGATTCTTCAAAGTCCACATTTCACTTTCATTAGATATCACAGGAAAATCATTGCCTGCATGATTCTGCATTTTTCTAGGTAGGGACATGTCCCTGTACCTGAACATTTTTTCTAGGTTCTTCATTGCTTTCTTACCAGTTGCTAGTCTCTGAGGTATTTCTCAACTGCTGGTTTTTTTTTACTATTGATAGTTGATCAATAATGAAGATATCCATCACTTCAGTGTTTTCATTGTCAACTTTAATGTTGGTTGCTCTAATTTTTGTCATTGGTTTGATCTTCATTTCATCACAGTTGCATTTTTACTATACTTCTTTACTTTTAT